ACACAGAGGAGTTACCCCTTTGGACTAGGTGGAGTACAGAACAGGGTGTGTAATCTAGGTATGTGGTCATGCTGACCTTATAAGGACAATGTGGCTGACCGGTTGCCAGGAACACCTGTTTTTGCCTTAAGACATTCTTGGAACCAGGGCAGGGGTGAATCAGAGAACCAAGATGGAGTCATTGTAATCAACTAGGGCAAAGGTGAATCAGAGCCAAGATGGAGTTACTAACGCCTTGAAGGGAGTGGGCCCAAGAAACAGAAGTCACATTTTACAGCAGCTGACATGGTTTACTAAGATGGCGCATACAGAACAGGATGGCGGTGCTTTGGTCAGGTTGTAACATTCCCCACTGGTTTTTGTGGCCGAGTCAAATCATTGACTTGTCAGAAACTTGTAGGCAATGTTATATTAAATTATTTTGACATGGGTAACCATTGTTAATTTACTCCAACAGCAAGGAACACTAGCTAACAACAGAGTCTAAGTAGCTGGGTTTTTACAACTCTAGAATAGGCAATATCTTCCGTGTCCCCACTGGTTTTTGTGCCACCTCTTGGGCTGTAATATCAGCCAGAGAGTTTTTTTGTTTTTTTTTTTTTTCTTTTGTCTTGAGGTCTGGCTCACAGTGGGCAGCATCTGCCTCTCTCAAACTGGTCACCTTGTCTTTTAATTCTGTCTCCTTGAGGGCCCAGCCCTATCTGCCTGTCTACAATATTTTTATCTAACCTGGCTGCCTGCAACATTTTTCCTCTGAAGAAGTAACCTGGACTGCCGTGAGGGTGTATGGGCGATGACCGCTCTGGCTACTTCACGCTGGAATGGGTTGCAGTTTTGAAGGGCAGTCATAGACACTCTCTAGAGGTTTTACCAAAAGGCCCTCAACAGACACCAGGCAATTTTTATCTTGGGTAGGCAGAATGGCTTTAAATCTGGAGGAGGCAAAGCCAAAGAAACAAACAAATAATAACATCAACAGGATATAGTAATCACTTAACAGATCTGGAATGTAATAACCTTTTGAAGTTTGTAATTATAAAAACACTAGTTAGAACATTTTGTAGGTCTATTAACAGAGATCTCTTAAACGTGAGGTTTAATCTCTTTATCTTTTATGTCCACTGGGTACTGTCTCAAACAAACTGGCCTTTCCTATTGTTACCAGGGAACATGAATTACTGGGCGTAGGGAAAACACTGAGTATTTTTTTAGTTTGCAAGTGGGCCACTGGCTGGGTAACCACTGACAAATCTGCATAAGCATCTATTAAAAGTTTAACAGGCTTTCTTTTTATATATTGGCAGTTAACATGGGTTCCCTCAGA